AAAAAAAAAAACAAAACCAAGAGAAAACAAATATCTTAAGTCTGACATGGTCCTCACATATGTATACTGACAATCCATATAAAATAGTGCTTCTATACAAGAAAAAAATAAACTATTGTTTAAATAAAGAAAGAAATGCTCGATGCCACAAGAAAAATAGATTGCCTTCATCGGAATCAAAGTGTTAAATTACCTATTATCGTAATCTGAACTAGGTACTGACTACATTTGAGTATTGTCCAGTGGAGCCGAACCAACACGCTGCCAAGCATTCCTATCCTCAAGATAATCAATCACCCTGTAGTAAGCTTGTTTACATAATTCGCGCTTAATATATGTTTTAAATTTACTTTCATTGAGATCTAGTATGCTATTTGGTATTTTATTATAGCATTTAATACCTAACCCCATAAAGGATTTCTGTACCTTGGACAGTCTGAATTGCAGTAGTAGTATTAAGATTGTGTCTATCGCTTCTTTTTTCGAATAATTGCCTATTCTTTCTTACATACATTATATTTTCATATATGTATTGACAGGGCACCGTTAAGATATTTATCGTTTTGAACAATTCTCTTAGCGATTCGCAAAGGCGTAAGTTATATATTGCTCGGATAGCCCGCTTTTGAAGAATAAAAATTGATACCATTTCTGCAGCTCGACCCCACAGCAAAATGCCGTACGACATAATGCTGTGAAAGTAACTAAAATAGACAAGCCTTGCCGTATCGTTGCCATGTCGTTGGAACTACGCCTGAAGAGTAAGAGAGCCGAAAAAGACGTGTTAGAACTGGAGCCAACTCAGGGGCGCACATCTCTGCTCTTCAAGCCATAATTTCGGCAACCCGTCGTCTTCCGCAGCTCCGTATCGGGCATTAGCCCTACTGGGCCCCCATCTGCGATGGCCCTTTCAAGGCGCGCGCGCAGAACGCGTTGCTCAGGGCATGGAACTGATGGATGCAGGTCCCTTCAAATTAGTTCCAACAGAGGCCTGTTTTGCATCAGAAAGTCATTGGTGGATGCCGGAGTATGTTCTTATGGGTAATTATGGTGATAAATAAAATACAAAGACGTTCATTGCAAATAGCATTTATTAGAAAACATGCAAATCCTTGTACCTTTAGTAACAAGTTTAAAAATACATAAAAATGTGTACTTAGTGTACTTTTAGAATTCTAAATAAGCATTAAAACATTTAAATTACATAGAAAAACTATAATAGTATAGCAAAATTTTGTTCAGGCGACATTTTATGAACATAATTTACGAAAAACGGCATATACAAAATCTAAGAGCCGGTTTCATGTCAAGTTTGATGTTTTAAATCTGAACTAATATTATAAAAAAAAATCTTACGGCTACTATAACATTATTAGACCTTTCTTTGTCTATATAATAAAAACATTATTCTAAAACAAGAAACCAAACACTAGAAAATCTGGAAACAAAAAACACATTCTAACTTTAAAACTCATTTGTACTAAAATCATCCTTAAAACCTAAGTACTTTGGTTTAAAACCAACACCAATGCTATGCAAATAGCAACCTTATTGCATAGACACAAACTCCGAAAATTCATAAAATTAAATCATATTTTTGAGAACATATTTCATAGTCACATCTTAAAATCTATTAAAAATGAGCACTGGACAAAGATTATAACAATCAATGGAGTGTTCACATATTTCAAATTAAATTATACAAACAAATATAAAAACAGACAGTATTTTTACCCAAAGGTATATTAAATACTATATTTAAAACTGTTATAACAGAATAGGATGATGACAGGATATGAAAATTAAAATGTAATTAGTCCGTCAGTTAGGTAAGGAAACATATTAGACACGTATTTTTTACGAAAACAATACTTAGTTAAAACGAACCAAGTTTACAAGTGGGAGCTAACTAGGTAATTTTTTAGGTATAAAACGTACACAAAAGTGACGGCACTATATTTTTCCCATCAATATATCGTCGAAAGTCTCTGTTTTCGTAACAAAAAAAAACACGTGTCTAATATTTTTAAATAATCTACCAGACGGATATTAAAATAAAAATTAGGTATCTAACCTATTTTAAGAAGTCTAAATACTAATTAAGTAATAAGATATGTCACATGAGCATCTATCTTTTGTTTGCCAACCTTTTGCAACGAACAAGGTGGCCAAACACATAATTTCAACAACTATACAAGAAAAATCATAAAAATTAAAATAAGTATTAAGTAAATTAACTTAAAATCGCTGGTTACTCACGTGAATATACTGAGAAAAGCTTTACAGCCAGTATAGGCTGCGCGACATAGCTGGAACAGCACACATTGCTCATATGAGGAAGAGCCCCTCTGTGGCTCGAAACTAGTAGAGCTTTTCTGTATATTCATGTGAGTAACCCGCGATTTTTAGTTAATTTAGTATGTCTCGCGATAGTAATTATAAAAACATAGTACAAAGTACTCTTTAACTATAAGAAAAATAATATTTACATTCATCAAGATGAGTTTGAGTTCACAATAAAGGCGTTTTTGTGCTCACCAGGTGGCGCCAATGTCGATGTTTTCCCAATAGAAAATTTTATAGTGTTTGAAAAATCAATTTTATGACAGCTACAGTAACTTGACAAATAAACCTTCACTCTGTATTAGTGCCAATTGGTGAGCAGAAGTGTGATAGGTCTCATTTAAAATAGTCATTCATAATTTGAATCTTATTCAATACTTTGTCTTAAATATAGGGACTAAAATCCAATGGAATTTTGCATTTAGATTGCACTTTGTAATCATATTTTTCATTTTTTGTCACAAGTTTATCATAATGACACTCATCATTGTGATATTCTTCAAGCAATTTTGACTTCTATTTCACATGCATTAAGAGTGCAAGGAAACTAAGTAGTCCTTAATATTAATATGCAATAGAGCTCAAAATCACTTGAATTATTTACATGTTTTCCAAAAAGAGTATATAGGAATAAATGAGTACAAAATTATGATAACGAAAGTGATTATGTTGTACAGCTTACTAAAAAAACTTGCCCATAAATATAGGCCCTTGCGTAGCTTTGAAACTAGTTGAGTTACCTCATCAGTTATGTGAGTAAGCCATACAATATAACTAATTGAATATGTCTCACAATAGTTATACATAATACAAGATGAAAGTGATCAAAATCTACTATCAGTATTATCTTATAAAATGTAAGATTTGGATCAAAATATGCATATAGCCGTCAAATTTAAGTATCATGATTTATATAGATGAAGAAAATCCGTCAAAATCATAAAAATGTAAATTAGAAAATAATACAGGCATGATTGTTTCACTTTGAAATATTTATAAATGCATGGAGTAAAAAATCATTGGAGGGACCAGTTGTAAGTTTATTATTGAAGAGAAAACATACAAAAAAACAGCAATGGTTGAAGGCCTTAGGTACTATGTTCACTACATGATCCAAGTTAACCCTCCATTGATTTGTTACTCCATGTTTTATTGAAGTTTGATAAATATTAAAATAAGTATATTGCAATGTCCATAGTGAGTGATTAACGCAATATTTAAATCGTCAATTGTTAAAACTTATTCTATTCAAGTTGAATAGTACCAGTGATACAAAAATGAACTAAAATAGTCGTCAAAATATGAAGTAAAAAATTGTTCTGACATGATTTTAGGAAATAGTCTTTATTTTTTAGAACATAGAGATGCTTATAAAAGTTTTGTATGTTAAAATCATGATTTAATATTACACCTTTTTAACTTACAAGTGCTGAATAGTGAATATAGAGTACATAAAGTTAATAACTGTAGAATAATCTGTTGGCATCATTAGCAAATCATAGGTATACACCAATAAATACTAAAGCATTACCTTAATTACCCATAGATAAAAAAAACAGTATCTCCTTCTATTTAAGTCGGTAAAAATTACTATAGTCTAATGAGATCATTGGTTTTAAGGCAATTTTAAAACTATATAAGGTACCCAATATCATAAGAGTCTAATTCCATGATGTACGACATGATTAATATTTAGTTATACTAGAAAATACATCTTATTTATATTACATAATGTTAATGGATAGCATGAAATTCTTTAGCAATAGTGTAGTAGGCTGTGCATGAAAATTAAAAATGTAATTAGTTAGTCAGTAGTTAAGTAGTAGTGATTTGAAATATCGTGACGTCACAGGACATTTCAAATCAATATAATAATATCATCGAAAATATTTAATTTTGTAAGAAAAGAAAAAATATGTGTCTAATGTTTTAAAATGATCTACCAGACAGACATTTAAAATAAAATTAAGCATACTAGACCCTATTTTTTCATGCATTTCACATAACAAGAGGCATATTGCAAGGATATTGTACAAACATAAGCTATTGATTTCTTAATCCGTCAACTAGAAATAGGGACTTGATACTTCAAAATATATATATTTCCAATAACAAAAATAGTGCAAATCTATGTCCAAACAATGAATTAATGAGACACATCAAGCCAGCTATATTTCTGCTTAGCTTAAAATAAAGATAGATCCAAATAATCAGTCATTAATATTTAAAATAGTCTTTTTTAGTCAAATATAGTAACTTTCAAGTATAGTTTTTACACTATTCAGTGTATATTACTCACTATGTTATCAAAATCTACATTATTTTTATAGTTCAATATTAGTCAAAGAAAATATAATTAAAACCGTCTCCTACCATTGCTTTTTATCCTGGTGTTTTTCAGTGTGATGGTGGTGGACTGCAGCGGTCTGCCATTGTTGCTGCTACGGAGTACCGGGCAGTATGTGCTGTAATTATAAAGGATTAGAGTTAATTTCAGGTTACCACCTATAATATAGGACTGAAAGCGGATATTGCATTGTGCACCCCTAACAACTAGGTTTGTAATCACCAATCAGCATTGAGCAAGTGTGGTGTTTAATGCTCAAACCTTATCTGTGTGAGAAGAGGCCTTGCTCAACAGTGGGCATTTATGGGCTGTTAATTGATGCTCCTAGCAACCTCCTCTAGGTCTAAAGTAATGATAAAAGATTTTTAACAAAAATTCATTCCAGTTTTCTGAGAAATACAGTAACAATTGTTAAACAAATTGTTTGTATCATCAAGCTGTTGAAAGTCTATAGGTATAGAGGAGAATTAAAAGTCAGTGGGCATCTCTATTTCATTCCCAGAGAGTGGTATTCCCAAGACTCAAAGGTCTATCTTTGAACAATTACAAATTCCTTCTGTAAAAGTCCTTTAGTGATATCGTGAGAGTCCTAGGAACTGCTAAAGAACTAGATCACAGATACAAGATAAAAGTAAGGTAAGATCAGATTCTTGGATTCAGAGCCAGAGTGTTACATGGTTTCGAGTAAAAGGAGATTATTTTTCTTAGAATGCTTGAAGTTTTGCGAAAGAGATGAATGAACTATAGTATCTAATAATTGTTTTTATAAATGTATCGTTTCTTACAATTGAATATGTATTGAGTAGTGTAATTGGTTTTTTGTACCGTTCTATTCGTATAAATAAATAAAGGTACTTACATAGTATGAGCATTATCGCCAGAAGCTCCACATGTGGAACAGACATGTGACCTCAAAATAGGACAGGTCACAATGCTCTGGTTGCCAACATTCTCCCTCACACAATGGGTCATATACACTATCGGAGTTTCTCCATTCTTCCTACAAAATGTGCACATTTTATCCGACTTCGAATCCTGATGTCTTGAAGAACTTGGGCCATAGTTCGGTCTGCTTGGCACCCTGAACGGTGAAGTTGGCATTCTTGGTGGCAATTTTGTAGTTGGTGTGGTCGGTGAATAATTTGGTGATGGAGTGTAGTTTGATACCGGAGATAGTTTGACCGGAGGCTTGAATTCAAATCCTTTCTTTTCAGTGGGGAACAATTCATAGAATATGTTCTGTGTGTAGTTCTTTTGTTCAATTTTGATGCTTGGAGGTGTAGGTGGGAATAAATTGTGTTCATCTGGCTGCCAAATTGAATTAGGGAACTCAATATCATGTTCAAGAGGTTTTAAAGTAGGTGGTGCAAGTGTAGGTGGCTCTGTATTGTCAAAAATCCTTCGTCCTATGATCGGACGTTGACGTCTGACTACAAATGGGGTCTCAAAGGATTGTCTGTCCAAATCTGAGCGGTGAGACAGGTCTGGGAAGGAGTCTGGAGATAGAGAGTCTGCTGAGCTTGATGAACGGTTCACTGGTGTAGATTGTCTGAATGGTGAACTTATTGTCATGTTTGGCAGTGCACTTGGAGACCGGTAATGATCTGGAACTGATATAAATATTATGAATTAGTTACTTTTATTTGAATTTATAAAAGCTAATGAGTCTGTTTATTGTAAGAATGTTACTAGTTTCCTTTTAACATCGTCAAAAACATCATCGTATATTAAATGCAATTATACGAAGATAAGGCCTTCAAAAGTCGGAATAATCACGTTAATCTCTGAAAGTAAGACAGAAAATGACGATATTCTCTACAATGTGTATGATTTTGTTAAAAACAAATGCGATCAAAGCTTCAATTTGTTTTGAATTAAGTTATTGGTAAAAAGTAAAACGACGTGATTTAGCAGTTTCGTCTAAAGCGGTTTACTTTGTCTAGAGAAGTCAGAACTTTTAGGAATTCACTTGAAAAGTAAAGTATAAAACTACGCAACTTAAAACTCACCATTTTCAGTCGGTCGAGGGAATAAACGGTTTATTTCAGTCATGTAATCGCACGTACTCTTCGTAGGATACATTTTCGGACCTGAAATAACACCAAAACAATAAATAAATTAAAAAATATAATTCACTATTTACATTTTGTGTAGAAAAAAAATCAAATCATCCATTTTGTAAGTTTACGGAAGTGACGACACAAATTTTAGGCTTTTAGGCAAAATTTAATGATCGAATTAGAATCTTATTAGATTTTAATGAATATGTAATATAGTACAAATATTAAAATTAGTACTTAAAAATAATTACAAAAATAATAACATTCTATTGAATTACTTTTTCTCCATTTTCATATTAAAAATATTCTAAGCCTGGATGCTATAAACCTACTACAATTATAGAATTATGTACTATTTCGTCTAGATATCAAAGCATTTATTGAATTAATAATGCTTGTTAAGTTTACATTGATGAACTTTACATTTCTAATACCACGATTGTATCCAACGCACAGCCATCTAGGCATTAAAATGATCACCAGCACATTGAATTTTACATGAAGACTGTATACCTAGGTCTCTACACTAGGTGGCAAAAATATTAAGATGTAGTTAATTTAATTTATAACTACAAGACAAGTAGGTATCGAATCCAATAACAATCACGTAAAAATCTATGTTAAATCAAATCAAAATATTACAAAACTAATAATCTAATTCTAATCATAATAAATAATATTGTTTAGACAAATTAATGACCAAAAACAAAATACCTACTTACAATTTATTGAAGATAGAGAACCACAAAATTATACACGTCTGCTTTCAACAAGATTTGCCGGCGAATTGAAAAACAAAAACAAACCGTGGGCGGCCTTTCGGCACGGTCAAAAGAAGCCGCCCACACTCCATGTTCAGTGGTTAAAAGCGACATAGGTACTAAGTTCAATACTTAGTTGCAATTTTTATGTAATTATTATTATGTATGATGAATGTTAATACATTTCCTGATGGAACTGTTGTATTGTTTTTGTGATGGATTAAATTTGAATTTAATGATCAAAATTTTACGAATTATAGTTCTAGATAAGTAATTAAAACACTGATTATATTTAATGATTTCGAAGCAAAATGCACCAAAATGTCAAAGAAAACATTAAATAATTACAATACATAACTATAGCATAAAATATACTCGTATATGTCGTGGCAAAACATAATGTTAATTAGGAGTACCAAAAGTGAAGCTACAATTTACAAAAGGCTCGCCGACTCGTGTCGGCTCGTGCCGTCTAATATCAAAGAAAAACCGACGAATAGCGAACTAGTTCTTCTACTCGACACTAGGTGGCGTTGAACTTAAAACTATTTTATAACAATTAATGCTTTTATTTACATTTTGGTTGTTTTTTTTTCACTAATGCATTACATAAGAAACAAAAAAATATTCGTTTTATTTCAATAATGAAGACTCATAAAGATTTACGTGTTAAAATATGTTTATTTTATTTCAGCCCAATAGTTAAAGTATCAACTAACAGATGGCGTCAAAATCTAGATTAGGTGAATATTACACAACCAATTTTGAGAGGTAAATTTTATTGTCACAGAAACCATGAACGGAACGATTATGTTATTACTTTTTTTGATCATCTAATAATTTTATCAAAAATAATGGCCATACATAACAGTTCTTCGGCCGCTGAGTGATCGCAGGGCGTAATTTCTGAACAAGGGATTTTAAGTTAATTTCCATGTCGGGCTATTTACGTTGAGTAATTGAATAAATATTTTCATTAGAAAAAAAATAATTTAAATTACGAAAACTCATCTGTACTTTTAGCTCGACTAAGGAATCGAACCCGTGTCCTATTGCGCAGAAGCCGGTCACCTAACTACGCCGCCGGAGTACTTAGTTATGGGCATGCATGCATCCATCAAGCCTCTTTTGATCCATAAGGACAATAAATAAAAGAAACAACACCTACTTTCTTACACACTTACATTCTATCGATTATAAAACAAATGAATAGGTATGAATCATCATCAGCGAACGAAATATCGTTCCACTATTAGAAATAGGCATACCTATTAAAGATAGGTACCTAATAACACAGTTGGTGCGGTGGCTGGGCAACCGGCTGCCGCGCAACGTCTCGCGATTTCGATTCCCGCACGAAGCAACACTTTGTGTGATCCACAAATTGTTATTCCGGGTCTGAGTGTATGTGAACTTTTATGATTGTAAACGCACCCACGACACAGGAGAAAATCCAAGAATGGGGCAAAATTAAAAATAAAATACGCGCTACTGGTACTGACCACTGAGTAATAAATACTTTGATCTTAAAAGCATAACATAACATTAGATAATTACGCCTTTTAACCCCGAAGGTGGTAGGCAGCGGTGCACATTACGACACTTAATGTCACTGTACAATGTAACACCCACTATTTACTATTTAAGTATTTATGTTAAGAGTCCCATGTAATAGGGGGTGAGCCTATTGCCATATACCGACCACAATTCCAGACCCCGTGCTACTACTGAGATTTTTTTAAAACCCAGTAGTACTTTGCCCGACCTGGGAATCGAACCCATATACCGAGCACAATTCCAGACCCCGTGCTACTACTGAGATTTTTTAAAAACCCAATAATACATTGCCCGACCCGTGAATCGAACCCGAGGCCTCTTGTCTGGCATTTGCACTTGCGACCATTCCGCCAACGAGGCAGTCTTAAATGTAAACCAATAACGATACAATTATCTAAAAGTTTTATGTTCACAATAAAACTACAACCTTCCTTTCTCAAACAAACATCTCACTTAACAAGATGGCGTCCATTAAAAAACAAAATAAGACAATATGGCGTCATTGCGTCACGCCACGTCACGGCGTAGTAATTACAAAAGCTCAGCCGCCCACAAAATAAACGTAGTGATCCAGATCAGTAAAACACCATGCGTTTTATTATTATTGTGTGTTTTTTGGTCAAATATTAGTTAATAAATCAGTTGGTTTAATAATGAATGGTATTAAGCCTAGTTTAGCATGTCCGCGTAGAATACGCTTGATTCAAAGATGGACGTTGTGTAACTAGTGCTTGAATATTGAAATGCCATTCAATTGTAAGACGCGCTTAGGTATAGTTAAGGATGTCAGGATGGTGTCGACTCGTCTGTCATTTAAGCAGAAAGTACATGAGCTTCTTTTCGAGAGGTTGGCTGAATCATCACGCTAATTACTCACAGTCTATATTTATGTATGTATGTATATATGTATGTATATTGTACTGTAGTTGTATTGTTTATTTGCTCAATTAAATCGTTGCTTGCTTCTTGCTCCCACTGTCCCACATTAACTCTTGTCTGCATCACCCAAAGGTCAGACTGGGAGAAAATGCCTGCGGCATTAAGTCCACCTTATGTTCACTTTGTACATGAAGCTTAAATAAATAAATAGTTCTGTCACTACAAATTCTTTGTAAAATGATAAAGGTGACACGATATTTAAGTACAATTATAATTGAGTAGCCTTTCAGTATTCGTTCGGGTGTGGATGGGCTGTAAACTTCGATGTAGTTTTTAACTTGCTTGGTATATGTAGAAGAGAGCTAGATTCTGTATGGTTACACTACACATAATCATAATATTTGTTTATCCATATTTCATAGGAATAAAATAATAGAACATTTGAAATTACACCTGGGAGCAAAGGAACGGAGCTACTAGCGTTTTTTTTTTCATTTCTTGATAAATATTTTCTGATACAAGTATTTTATGTATTGGTACCGTACGTATGTCGTATAAAATACAATTTAGTTACCTTTAAAATGTGAGCATTTTGTTGTTAAAGGATTTTTTTTTAAGTTGTAGAGGGTTCGATAAAATGAAAAACGCTAGTGGCTCCGTTTGCTCCCAAGTGTATGTATACGATATCTATACCTATACCGTTATGGGAAACAGACGTGGATTATAATTTCAAATTATATTATGGAACTTTGAACAAGCGCGGCATTCCACCTCCATGTGAGAACAGGAATTTGCCCTGTAATGAGAGTATTAGATAACAGTTCATGAGATGATAATAAATTATTTCCTTAATTATTTCGAGGTGATGACTGTCGCGGGTTGCGGAATGCTGCTCTTGAATATGAGCCTCAAGTACCTATAGCTTGAAACTAGTCGAGTTCCTCGTCAAATAATTACGTGAGTAAGCCGAAAACATGATAATAAATTTAGTAGGTTTTACGAAAGTTTTAATTTAAACAAATTATTTCCTTTAGCTATTATTTAGGTATTATCTAATAAAATAATGTAAACTACATATTGAATTTAGTGTTAAATAAAGTAGAAAAATATGTAACGCTAGAACAAATTGATCTATAAGTCAAATGCCTTAACATGCAAATAAAGAGTTTGAGTTTGAGTTTGAAACAGTCGTCGTGTATGTGATCTTGTATGTTTGTAAACACACCCACGACACAGGAGAAAATCTTAATGTGGGGCAACGTTTTAATAAAAAAAATTAAAAAAAAAGAATTAGTAGTGACCACGAATAGTTTAATGCCTACTGCCGGCTCTATACAAGTTACCTAATCTAACAAAATAACAAATACGTAAATGTGGAGCAAGGTCAGCGGATCGCAATTATGGCGCGATTGTGTCCGGTGTCTTCCAAACTTTATGCAAGGCATAAGCGACAACGATTTTTATTTTCTTAATATTTATTTTATCATTATGTTTGCTGTTTTACAATAGACTAGACGGAGGTAGTGGTAACTTTCTGTGAAAAATTAACGCTTTATACTCTTCATTTCCAGAGGAAACCCCAAAAGCAAATTAGTGTTGATGCTGTGTGCCTTAGAAATGTTTTTTTTTTTTTATAGAATAAGCCGGTAAACGAGCAGAAGGATCACCTGATAGTAAGCAATCGGCTCCGCCCATAGACACTTGAAACACCAAAGGCATTACCAGTACGTTACTGGCCTTTTGAGAATTGGGAATTTGAGGATTGTGGGGGATTCGGGGGGCCTCCGGTGACCCCATTCACACGACAAAACATAATCATCCGCATCATTGCTATCCGCATTTTCAACACAATAAACTGCCCAGGCGACTCGCTAGTATCTTACACATTGCGCCACACAAGCAAACATACAATAAGAGGTTTGTTTATTGTTTTTATATAGATTTGACGAGATGGACATAATGAGATGTATCAGATATTATTGAAAAGAAAGCAAGGTCGTAGCTATAGAGGCTGGAGATGTAAGATGATGGATCTGTGATGCTGTTTGTTCGTCCATGATGTTGTTGATGATGTAATTAACGAACTCTTGTTCTTGTTGGCTTGTTGGCAGTTTTTAACTGACTTCAAAAAAAGGAGGAGTAAGCAATCGGCGTCGCCCATAGACACCTGAAACCCCGGAGGTGTTACGAGTGCGTTACGCAGTACTGTGCTAACTAGATTGATATGTCAAAAATGACCATTATCTATGGTGCTACATGTCATGATTATGACATAATGTCTTGACATGTCTGTCTGTCTGTCACTCCCACGCTCTTATCTTGAGAACTGATGAGCATGGGAGTGATATAATACAAACATTGGTTGATCCTTGATCGGTTAAAGTATAATGATGTTTTCTTTTCTTTAATGTCAGTCACACTATGAGTGATTAAGGTCTAGTGGATGGAAACGTTACACACTCTAATCTTGCTCGTTAAATTTCTTAAGAAATAAGTTATTTTTTTATATCTTTGTTTGACCACTATTTCGACTGGTGGTAAGCGATGATGCAGTCTACGATGGAGCACGTCGTCCCATAAGCAATCTATTCACTCGGGCCTTGAAGACACCCAGGTGGCAAAGAATTCTACTACTTAGCAATTAGCACAATGAAGCTT